GTGACATTGACATATTTAGTATTGTTCTTTTAAATTTGTTTCTTTACATTATTGACTTTAATTTCATTTACTTGATACAATTATTAGTCTTCCATTTAAATTTTTGTTATTTCACTGGTAATAAAGATAATTAACATGTAATTTTATTTTTTAATTAAAAGAGTTTAGGAGAGTGTGAGAGAGCAGTTACATGTTGGGACAACATATTTTAATGATAAAATTACATATTAGTTATTTTTGTTAAAGATGGACTAATGATATAATAAATGGACAACTAATTGTGACAAGTAAATTAATGTCAATAATATAATGAGACAAAACTCTAAGAGTATAACTAACTAAATGTGATAATATTACAATTGTCTAAAACTAAACGTAGAATTTGCTCTATTCAACATTAATAATTTGTATAGCGACCAAGAATATGCTTAACAAAGAGATAATTCTTTCAGATTTACTAAACGGGACACTTTTGGCGTGTGCCCACTTTTGGTTATTGCATTATCCAATGGCCATGTGTGGTGGCTATATTATCTTTACGACTTCACATAAAGGATTAAATGGTTATTTGATCTGAGATGCTCTTGATCAGTTAGTTGAAAGATAAAGGCTTAATTAAGGCTTTGATAGTCTTCCGATAGAAACTGATACTCTCCAAGTTATTCTTGGCCTTAACTCTGAGTTTGGAGACTCTTCTTTTGATCTTGTGCTTCTAGATATCAAAGATATGTTTGTTCATTTCTCAACATGTATATCACTTTTGTTAAGAAATAAGCGAATCAGATTGTTCATGTGTTAGTTCGGGAATCGCTTTCTGTGACTGGTTGCATGAAGTGGATGTTTTACCCTCCTTTCATTTATACTGACCTGCTTTTGGATCTTTGAGTAAACTTCTTGTTTGTTTAATTTGTTTCAAGAAAAATAAAACCGAATTAAATGGTGATTCATGAAACTCACAAGCATAAAACAAATTATTTATTTATTATTTATTTTAGGAGAGATGCTCACAAACGATATAAAATATATTAGTTTGAGGGGAATTAGACCTGTGATCATGGGAAATATTTTGAATGAAAAATTTGATATACACTATGAATATGCCCGTGTATAGAAAGCATATTCAGCATCTATCATTTGTATAGAGACAATATGCTTAACAAGGAGATGATTCTTCAAAGTTTACCAAGCATGCATATATGCACTTTTGGCAGCCCATGTACCCACTCACGGATTATTGTGGCACTACTTCAATGACAATATCAGTCTATATCATCTATCTCTCCATAATTTGAATTGAATACTTTAATTGGTAATTGTAATGGAGTTAATTAAGTGCAATTTTTTATTTTTTTTTGGTTTTGTAATAAATAGAAATTAGAATCTCATTAATTAATTAATTAAAAAAATACATACATACATACATACATACATACATACATACATACATACATACATACATACATATATATATATATATATATATATATATATATATATATATATATAGTGTGTGTGTGTGTATGTGTGTGTGTGTATATATATATATATATATATATATATATATATATATATATATATATATATATATATATATATAATTGTATAATTCATATTAATATTATTGAGGTAAGAATTATAGAAATGATAATTTACTAAATATAACTATAGTAACATTTTAATTAAAATCTAAATGATTTCAAACTTTCCATTGAAGGATGTAAGAAAAAATATTGTGTATGCATGTACATGGTAATAATAATGTGGAAAGATAATAGAAGTTATAACGGCAGGGATATTTTTGTCCAAAAAATTATGTACTACAGCTTTTATAGCACAAGGTACAAAAAAAATTAACGGAAAATATGGACATAAACCAGGGGTATAACCTGGATTGAAGCTTATTATGTTTTTAGATATATATATATATATATATATATATATATATATATATATATATATACATATATATATTCCTGTCTAAAGTTTTGGTAAAAATATCTACAAGTTAATTTTCTGTGTGAATGAATTCAAGGTATATAATTTTTATTAGGACTCCTGTAATATAATGATGTTCATTCAATACAATTCTATCCGTTCTCATCTGGTATCAGCTAGCTAGGGTTTCGTTCACATAGTTGACGGATCTTTTAATTCTTCATTGTCCACCGTACACCACTTTATTAGTATAAAACTGATATACAAGAACTTCCTGCTTTGGCAAGCTCAGGTTGTTCGTTTTCTTCGCGGTCATGACCTGATGGGTTTCGTTGATGGGATGAATCCATGTCCACCCACCTTTCTCCCCGCCGACGATGACGGCTCATCGTTCAGTCAAATTCGATGTATCATGCATGGGTACGTCAAGATTAGGCGCTCCTTTCTATGATTAATTATGTCTTCTTTATCGGAGGAGATTATGTTGTTGGCGATCGGTCATCATATCACACCAGCATGGCGGCATGGGAGGCCGTCGTTCGCTCCCTTGCGTCTTCTTCACGGGCTAGGTCTTTGAACCTTCTTGGCCAACTTCAATTGCTTCATCAAAGTGATTCCTCGGTTGCGGACTATATCGGAAGGGCACGGGTTTTGGTCGAGGACTTTGCTCTCGCCGATCGACCAATATCCCTTGAAGAACAAAATCTTTATGTCTTCAAGGGGTTGCGGTCTGAGTTTCATGGGTTGACGTCCCCCCTCAATGTTCATGGACAGCCAGTCACGCTCCAAGAACTACTTGACTTCTTGGGAGCGGAGGAATTCGTCGCAAGTAGTGATCACGGCGGTTCTTCACCGGTAGCCTTTGCGGCTCAACGCGGAGGCGGGCAGCAGCGACGAGGTGGCGGCGGTCACGCTCCGAGCAGAATAGCGGTGGCCATTCGCATGGTGGAGGCGGCGACCGGTACCGCGTCGATGGCGGACGAGGCCGTGGTGGCCGGAATGGAAATTGGTAGCCCAAGTGTCAATTATGTGGGAATCTTGGACACACTGTGGTTACTTGTTACAATAGTGATAAGTGTCAAAGACACCTAGTTTTAGGGTCTCGTTTATGTGCGTTTTGAGCTAATTATGATCCTTTGTGTACCATGTTTAGGCCATTTAAGCTAAGTGTGTGCATTGTGTTATAAAATATCACCACACTTTGTATTTTATGGTTTTGTAGGATAATTTGGATTAAAACGAGGCAAAGTGGCATAGGACGGAACAAAGCGGGAAAAGAAGACAAGCCGAGGCCAAGATAGGAGGCACAACGCACATTGTGACATCCATTGTAGTGAAGCAGAAAGATCCACGAGTGGCACAACGCACGTTGTGATGCTCGTTGTGAAGAAACAGAAAAGTCCACGAGGAGCACAACGAACATTGCAGGATGCATAGATAGGGAACTTAATCACACAACGCACATTGTGACATGCGTTGTGGATGGCGTTGTGACCTTGGGCAGAAGTTATGTAGGGAAGGCTATTTAAGTCATTTAAAGATTCATTTCTAGGGAGGCTAGGTAGGAGTTAGTGAGAAAAAGAAAGAGTTTTAGTTTTTCAGGAGATTTTCATATTGTAGAGAGAGAAACACTTAGATAGCTCTCTAGATTTCCGTTGAAGATCAATTGAAGAGGGAGATTGACAACCTTCTAAATCAAGAGATCTCAGCAAGTATGTACTCTACATTGGTACATTTCTAATTCTACTTTTATATTGCTTTCTTATGTTTGATTTCATGCTTTCAATGTTGATTACTATGCTTGGCTAGATTAATTAGTGATTGAATTGTGAAGTGATTGATTATGAAACCTATGTGACTTAATTCTTGAATTGGGGATTGAATACTTGCTATGCTTGAAGTCTTGTTTTTAGGGTTTGATTTGTAAGCATCCTATGGAGCTAGGCCACCTCCTAGGGTTGTGCTAAGCAAGAGATTGCTCGCAGTGAGGGCTTATTACCATACACTTCAGTTAATATTTTCTCATCATCACTGTCTGTTGAATTCGAAGGCACAGGCCTTGGTCTTACCACTTTGTAGGGCACATGAACTGAGTCAGTGGGTAAATTTGAAAATAGCAAACTTGTTCTAGACTCTCAGCCGGACTAGAAGATGTATAAGAAGGAATAGCAACATTTGGATTAGATGGATGAGTACTCTCAGATTGTTTAGAAGGGGGAACAATAGACTCATTTAGTGTGTTTTCAACCGGACAGAGTTCAATAGAGGATTTAACCGGAACTGTGGACTCTAGGTCATCAGTGACTATATCATCAGGTATTTCAATATCAGATGTCAACACAACTTGGATTGATCCATCAGTATCAGCAGATGTTGGGACAACTTTATCAGAGACAGACACAACAATAGATTTTTCAGGCACATATATAGATTTTTCAGTTTCAGATATACCAACATTAGACAAACAGAATGGATCAGCATATATATTCGTAGTAGCAGGTAACAATGACTCTTGAGAACCCGGAACAGAACATAAGGGATTATTATCAGAAAACACAGAAAGTATACCAGACTCAGCAGCAGTAGACAAAGACTCAGTAGGCTTATCAGGTGAAATTTCAATAGGGGTATCAGAAGTGTTTGACCTATTTTGAAGATACACTCTTCTTCGCTGTGCTTCTTCCTGGGCTGCCTGCAGGTATAGTAGTTGAGCATCAACCCGTCGTCGAGATACCTCATCCCAGTCTAAAGCCCGCTACCCAAAGTATTTCAGAAACTCCCCGGCTCGGTTTCCATCCTCTGGTGCATCAATGGCGGTAAGACTGATGTCATCATCTGCCTCAGAAGCCATCACCATTAGGGTGCTTGTATCTTCATCTGACCAGTGCTCATAAAACTCCGGATAGTTTGATATCACTGTGACAATTATTTTATCTCGAAGAACAGGGTCCAACTTCAGTTTCTTTTTCATAACTAGCTGGAAAAGAGTATTCACATGTTTTAAAGCACTCTCCGATGAGTGATCCTTTCTGCCAAATTTGATTATCATATTTTTCACTGCGTCGATGGCTGAGACGCAGGCTCCACAACGTTTAAAATCAGGGAAGTCAACAAGCTTATGGCTACCTCTACTACACCTGGGTCTGAGACCAGCAATTCTGTGTCACCGAGTCCTACAAATAGTTCACTTGTCAGGGAAACACGGAAGTCCAAGAGAAAAGGGGTTCCAGAAAAGAAGAGAAGATCAGTTTGCTGAGAGTGATCCTCCTGTCAGACAAGTGTTTAAGAACTTGAGATCTTCTATTAAGGGTAAAGCTCCTGCTGTTGCTCCATCTACCAAAGTCAAGAAAATGAAGCCTATTACCAAACCAAGGGGAAGAAGTGTCACCCCTGATGTACCGAGTGTTCCTATCGAAATCCCATAAAGTCCTGATTCCTCAATCTACAAGTCCAAGTTTGTATCTGATGCTGCTAAAGAGAAAATACAATGGTAAAAAAGGGGGTTGATTGTCCAGAGATCAGTTGATGAAAATCTGCTAAACTCGGTGTGTGATGTGCTACCCCTTCTACGTGAAGTTGGCCTTCTGAAAACTGTGAAGTCTGTTTGTGACTATTCTAAGCTGCTCACATATGAATTCTACTGCAATCTGAACGAAGAAATTGATGATCTGACAAGCAAATGGTGCATGAGAATTTTCATCCGTGGTGATTGGTATGTGTTTGGCCCTGATGTGATCAACGAGTATTATGGGTTGAAGCCAGTTGATGAAGATGAGATCATTGAATGGGATCTGGTGGCTAAGACTCTTACTGAAGGAGTGGTGACTGAATGGCCATCCATTGATACTAATGCTCTGTCCAGCTCTGAATTCACTTCAAAATTTGTTATTCTTCACCGGATTGCACTGCACAATTGGCTGCCATCTGCTCATTTTCATACAGTCAGTAAAACTCTAGTTGGTCTAATCTTTCGAGTTGGCACAAAGATGACAGTTGACCTAGGGAAGCGGATCTTCAGTCATATGCTCACCTTGATTCATCCCAGGGAGCAAAAGGTTAAACTTCCATACCCTAATCTTATTTGTGGTGTGCTCACATCCAAGGTCTGATTCTTATGCCTAGTGAGGTCATTACTCCTTCTCTGACTTATACCGCAGACCCACGCCTATTGACTGGCAAGCACATCAAGGATGTTCGACCTGATGATGCTCTGGTGAGCTCTGTTGCTGAAGGTGATGAAAGTACACCCAATGGTCGTGATTTGAAGCTGTCCTTACGGTTGAAGGCCCATGTGTCTAAGCTACAGAATGTCAGTAGCATTATCTCGGATCAGCTCAACATTGCTCGCACAGAACTGGCGTCTGTCTTACTTCGTTTGAGTCTGTCTGAGTCTGACGCTGCTCCTGTTGAAGCCCCCAATGTCTTTTGCCTATCATTGGCAAAAGGGGGGAGTACTATACTCAGGGGGAGTATTATTGTTTGTTTTGGTTGTTGGAAGTATCATCTGGCCCTGTTTGGGCATTTTTTGTTGAAGGAAGGTGGTTTATTCTCTGACTTTTGAAACAATTTTTTTGTTATGTTTTTGCTACCCTATCCTTAGTTGAGTTTTTTTTTTTTTGCCAAATAATAGCCAAAAGGGGAGTTTGTTAGTGTTTTATTATTTAAAGAAAAACCCCAACATGTAATTGACAATATTATTATGGCAAATTACGATAGGGTTTAGCTTGGTGTCTGACCGTCCTTGAAGAAGCCTGATTGATCAGTAAAATCAACAGACGCATCTCTGGATCAAACCACCGAAGGTCTGATAAAGGAAAATTCCTAAAAGCTGACATACGCGTTTATGAGATGATTAGTTTGGAAGAATATCAGCGAATCATCTCTTGAGGTATGGACTAAATCTTCTTGAAGATTCAAGATCTTTTACTTCACAAAGTCCTACCTTTTACAACCATAGTTATATTTGGAGAGTGTCCAAATCAAGAAGTATATATACACATATACTCTCAGAAGTTAGGGTTGCATTGATTGAAGCTGCATCACTCGATACTAAAAAGATACACATCTCTGGTTTTATGCCTCTTCTCAAGACATATAGTTCATGGTGATTACGACTTTGATAAATAATATAATGTTTTATCAAAACTTTCTCCGGTGTACCCTTTTTGTATTAAGTACTCAGTGAGTCTTTCATACCATGCCCTGAACACTTGTTTTAGTTTGTAAGGGTATTTTTGAACAATTGTTATACCCTGCACCACGGTGCACATAGTACTGTGCGCCCCGCGCCTCCCAAAATGACGTCGTTTTGGGAGGCATGATATGCAATTGACGTGATTATGTGTATTTGTTTATACAATTATGTGTATTTGTTTATATAATTATGTGTATTTTTTTATACAGTTATGTGTGTTTGTTTATACAATTATGTGTATCTGTTTATACAATTATGTGAAACGACGTCGCTTTGCATCAGGGCGCACAATGTAATGCGCACCCTGGTGCACGATATAAATTGCCATTTTTCAACTTGTACACATGATCTGGATGGTTTGAGCTCTCGAACCCTTTAGGTTGTGCTACAAACTCTTATTCTTTGAGATACCCATTTCAGACTGAAGTCTTTACATCTACTTGTTGTAGAAGATTCTCAATGTGCATGTGATTGAAATGAGAAGAAGTCGGATGGACTCCCATCTTTCCACTTGTGCGAATATTTTTTCAAAATCAATGGCTTTCATTTGTAAATATCATTGTGCTACCAGGTGTGTTTTGTTCTTGACGACTATTCTATTGTTGTCATATTTGTTCAATTATTCCTAAAAATCGATTTTGTGACGATCACATTTAGATTGTCTAATTTCGATAAGAAGTCTCAAACCTTATTTCGTTCGAATTGGACTAATTCCTCTTGCACGTATATCCAACATTCATCTTGCAGTGTTTCATTCACGTTCTTTGATTTTATCATGAGTTTTTTTTATACTTCCACTTCGTGTATGTTTTTGTTGAGTTTGTCTCATATATGGATTATGAATAAGTGTTTGTCTCATACTAGGAGTAGGAGTGAAACGGGTAGACTTATTGTATAGGGATTAGATGTCTATAAATATATTGGGTGTATCCCTAAAGAATTGTGTCACCACTATCACCATCACAAATAATAAGAGAATACTTTCACTCTCGTGAACGTAGGCACATTGCCGAACCACGTAAATCTTGTCTTCTTTACCCTATTTGTCATTATTATTAATGTTTCTTGTTCCTGTTAATTTCAACAAATTGGTATCAGAGTACTGTTGAGATGGTCCGTTCAAGTATAAAATTCAAGGTATCAAAGTTTGATGGTACAGGGAATTTTGGGTTATGGCAATCTAGGGTAAAAGATTTGTTGGCACAACAAGGCCTTCTGAAAACCTTGAAGGCGAAAAAGCCAGCTAATCTGGAAGAGGCTGATTGGGAGGAGTTGAAGAAGCAGGAAGCTATTGTGGTTCAAGCCGATGACTCTTATTATAGTGAATGTGATGTTCTGCGGTAACTAGTAACAAGTTCGAACATTGTTTGGACTTGTTGGGCGTTTCTAGAGTCTAGTTGTGAAGGTAGAGATGGTGAGATAAGTCTTTTCTCCTAAGGGACATATTTGCTAAGGTGGAGACGTGTTGAGTTACCTTTTTCTCCCAAAGGACATATTTGTGAAGGTGGAGAAGTCTTTTCTCCTAAAGGGCATATATGTGAAGGTGGAGATGGTGAGATAAGTCTTTTCTCCTAAAGAGCATATTCGTCAAGGTGGAGATTTGTTGAGTTATCTTTTCTCCTAAAGAACATATTCGCCAAGGTGGAGATTGTTGAGTTTGTCTCATATATGGATTATGAATAAGTGTTTGTCTCATACTAGGAGTAGGAGTGAAACGGGTAGACCTATTGTATAGGGATTAGATGTCTATAAATATATTGGTTGTATCCTTAAAGAATTGTGTCACCACTATCACCATCACAAATAATAAGAGAATACTTTCACTCCCGTGGACGTAGGCACATTGCCGAACCACGTAAATCTTGTATTCTTTACCTTTTTGTCATTATTATTTTTCTTGTTCTTGTTAATCTCAACAGTTTTTTTTCTAGCATATTTAAGGGAATTCATTCTCTTCTATTTCGCTAGAGTAGTTCCTCTTTGTAGGCAAATTATGGTAAATTATGCCGTGAATCCGTGTGCACCATGCATGGTGCATACGGATGCAAAAACGACTTCGTTTTACTTAAATTAGAAAAAAGAAATTATTTTCGATTGTCGTTAGTTACGTAAACATATGTTCATAATTTTATAATTTCATATTCTGAATTTATAGTTATGAAATTATTGATGTGTAGTTATGCAAATCTGGATTTATAGTTATGAAGTTATGGATGTGTAATTATGCATGCAATTATGAATATATAGTTATGAATTTATAATTTCACATTCTGAATGTATAGTTATGAAGTTATGGATGTGTAGTTATGCAATTCTGGATGTATAGTTATGAAGTTATGAATGTGCAGTTATACAATTCTGATTTTTTTTTTTTTTTTTTAAAGTCGGACGTCAAAACGATGTCGTTTTTGCAACCGTGTGCACCATGCATGGTGCACACGGTTGCACAGCATAACGCTTCGCAAGTTTTACTTTGGATCATGGTTCATGTAGTAATGTAGTTCATAAAGTAAGTATAATTCTAATTACACTTTAGTTTCATTTGACAATATTGTTCTTTTTTTTTTTTTTAGTTTAATTTTCCACACTCACTAGTTTCATTATAGCAATAACAAAGTATCATTTTAATTCTACTACAGTTTCATTTGACAATATACATTATTGTATGAACTCTATTTTGTTGTTTCATTTTTCACACACTAATTTAATTATAATAATGCTAAAGTATTGTTTTAATTACCGTCCACTTTCATTTGACAATATATGTTATTGTATGGTTCTGAATTTTAGTTACATTTACCATAGACACTAATTTTATTTTAACAATATTAAAGTATCATTTTAATTATACTACAGTTTTATTTGACAATACGTTGTTGAATGAGCTTTGTTTTTTGTTTCATTTTTCACACACACTAGTTTCATTTTAACAATACGAAAGAATCATTTTAATTTTACTATAGTTTTATTTGACAATCATGGTCCAGGATCATATAACAACCGATCTTTGTATGCGACTAGCTTAATGACATCAAAAGTGCGTTCGCAATTAGAACACTGGGAGCCTACCAACTTGGCGACCCAAAGCAAGGACTTCGATTGGCACGTGATATGTTACGACTTCAATTTTGTAGCTTCAAATTTTTATTTATTTATTTTTCGATGTCCAAAAATGCCAATTTTAATTTTCTTTTGAAGTTAACAGGTTATACACCCGCCTTGATTAACAAGGATCATAAGACTTCTCTTTCTGTAACGTTCAGCATGACAAGAAGATAGATTCACTATTATCAACATGAATTCGCTTTTAGGTTATTGGGGAAAAAACTGATAATGTGAAAATATAGGAACATTGCCGTGGAATAACTAATATTTTAGAAGTGAATTCATTGCTACTGGTACATGATCAATTCACTTCTATATTGTTGGGGAAAAGATTGATAATTTAAAAATAAAGAAATGTTATGCTATAGAATAATCGCTGCTTTAGAAGTGAATTCGTCGCTACTGGTGCAGGTTCAATAAATTTTTTGATTTTTGGAAAAAAGGGTGATAATGTGAAAATAAAGGAATGTTGTATCGTGGAATAATCACTACTCTAGAAGTGAATTCGTCCCCACTAGTGCAGGTTCACAACAACAGTGTTGCCGCCCAAGAGTAACACAACAATAATCCACATTTTCGTGAGCACCCACAACATGGATTGAAACTTACACAGCAGTCTTTGAGTGAAAATGGGACACGAGAGAGATGAAACAACCGTCGGTCTAAACTCATGTATGTTCTCCCTTAAATAGTAGATGCCAAATAAATATGATCACATACTATATATCATGATTAGGGGTGGGCGTCGATTCGGTTCGGGTTCGGGTGATACCCGAATTTTATTTCAGATATTTGAAAATTTTGGGTGAT